CTGTGTCGAAGCGGCCTAGCACTATTTAAGTACCGGTATCATCAGTTACGATTGCAACATTCAAAATAATTTTTGAACGATTGAAATCAAGACTTTTGAACTTTCTTGTTTTTCCAGTAGCAAAATACATCTCTGTATTAGAACGACGAGTGTTTTTTTCCAACCTCGTTTTATAAGAAGATCTGTCTATAAAGTAGATTAAAAATGTCCGACACTCCCTCATCAGAAATTGTAATAACCAACCATAACCAAAATCAAATTCCATAGAAAAAGGACCAAAATATGAACAAAAGAAAGATTCACACGGAGACTCATGAACAATTACAAGGAGAATAAGACCAGGTGTTCCGGATGAGTAAGCATCTTTTGTTGCATTGAAGACACCCGCCATGTAAACCTTGGTCTGTTTCAGAAGGTAATGTCACGTTCTCAAGAACAGCAGAACCAAAAAGCAAACCAACGAACACCAAACACGTCCAGCTTCATATCATACAAAGAGACAGGATGTTTCTCATTGAAATCACTGTTTTGAAATTGATCCGTTGAAAAATCCACTGCAGTGCCAACGAAGTATAACATAGCCAATAAACTGTAAACACATGGTCAGTGTATATTAAGTTAATGAGCAGTTAGTATGGTCAGTTAAATTCGGAAAACGCTCATGTTGAATACCCAGAGCAAGATCGATGTATGGTAATCTTGATAATTTCGATTTTCCTACTGTGAATTTTTCATTTCTGAATAGCAATATTCTTGCATCCTCAGCCTATGTGTTTACATATAGCAGTTGATTCGGTATAGAAGGCCTGCTCCAATTATCACGATTTCCATGCAAGGACTCGTCAACTGACGGATAAACTTGTAACAAAAAAGTTTATACGACACAGGTTGATGCAAATTGTTGGGAAGTTTTACGTGGTCATAGTGGTTTCATTGAGAAATATTCTGTTTCTTTGTGCGGTATGAAGTAGGAAGGGTCGTTTGTTGTATACATTGTTCTTATTTGAGAACGTGTCATTACTTCCTTGGATTGCACTTACTCTTTCGGAACATCTAGTAATATTTTTTTTATTCTTTTTTTCTAGAGTGTCAGTGTAAATCTTTCTTTTGTATATATTTTGTCTTAGTTTTATTGAATATGGTTCAGGATTATGAATATGTTGACATGTTGATATTTTCTTTTTGTTATTTATTTATTTGTTTCTATAAATTGTCTTACTTTGACTGCTGTCTCTGTTCCACGTTCGCCAAGCATAACAATGCGCTTCGTTCCAGTTCGTGGGTTCCTAAAACCAGTGAAAAGATGAACTGTATCTTTACATAAATAGTTTGTAAAAAACATCCCCTAAATAAAATGAATATTTGAAATGACTGAATATTAAATGGACTTTAGAGCGGAATACTAAAATGCTGGATTGATAAAAGTGCCTTCTTTGACGTCAGCTGTCTTAACGTCACGCTTGATAACATTGCAAAGCCATATTGATTATGCTGCTCTACGTTTTATTTTATCCATCCAGAAACGTGCGCGGGATTTACTTGAATAAAAATTAACTTATATAACATTTGCTTTATTTAAGTCCCTTAAGGAAAATCGGCGAATTTCAATACAGTGAAATCACGAAAAATATAGTTTTTATCAAAATGGTAAATTAATTGATTTCACAGGCAAAAATGAAATATATTAGACAAAATATCTGAAATAAGCTATAATACATAGTCCGTACGCTGTCGAAGTTTAAGCGCATAATTATTGATTGTGATGCCTGATACTCAATCTATAGTAGAAATGACACACACCATAAATGTATAGGTTACGTTCGAAAGCATCCAAGCAGTAACAAGGACAGTATGTGTTTGTCTAGACTTTTTTCTTTTTAAATTACTAGTTTCTCCGTTGATCGTACTTTCAACTTATCGATTACCGACTCAAGGGTAACTCACAAATCACCATTGTTTTACTCTCTAAAATCTCCTTAAAATATTGATAAGAAAAATACCGATATGGGTATATTGACTTTTTTCTTTTGTTTCAATGAAAATCTCTTCTTCAACATCGCGAACACTCCATTGAAGGCGGATTTCTCATCTTCAGATGACTTTTTAACAACATCTATATAATGTTCCCGAAGTTCCTCCAAGTTTTGTTGTTTTTGACGTACGGAAGCCGAAGGGTTGCTATTCCTCTTTTTCCATGATTCAAAGAGTCTCAAGGCCTCTTCCTGAGTAAATTGTCCCTCCTGTGTCATCTTCGTAATTTCTATGAGCTCGTCCATTGCACGCGATCCACTTACAGATTCGTGTTCATACCTTTGAGCATCTAAAGAACAGAATTAATAGAATTAGCGTTTTTTTGTCCTAATATATTCATTTGACTTGAATAGGGCTACCTACATCTAACAAGGCATTGTCCTTTTTCAGCCTTCAGCTTATAAGAACGGTTATGATAAAAGTATACCTTGCTTCTGTTTCTATTTCCAGGCGTTAATGCCTATGTATAGTGTACATGTGTGGGAGTGATGAAGCCTATAGTGTACATGTATAGCAGTGATGAAGCCTATAGTGTACATGTATGGGAGTGATGAAAGCTATAGTGTACATATGTGGTTGTGATGAAACCTATAGTGTACATGTGTTGGAGTGATGAAACCTATAGTGTACATGTATGGGAGTGATGAAGCCTATAGTGTACATGTGTGGGTGTGAGGAAGCCTATAGTGTACATATATGTGAGTGATGAAGCTTATAGTGTACATGTGTGGGAGTGATGAAGTCTATAGTGTACATGTGTGGGAGTGATGAAGCCTATAGTGTACATATATGGGAGTGTTGAAGCCTATAGTATACATGTGTGGGAATGATGAAGACTATAGTGTACATGTGTGGGAGTGATGCAGCCTATAGTGTACATGTGTGGGAGTGATGAAACTTATTGTGTACATGCGTGGGAGTGATGAAGTCTATAGTGTACATGTGTGGGAGTGATGAAGCCTATAGTGTACATGTGTGGGAGTGATGCAGCCTATAGTGTACATGTGTGGGAGTAATGCAGCCTATAGTGTACATGTGTGGGAGTGATGAAGCCTATAGTGTACATATATGGGAATGTTGAAGCCTATAGTATACATGTGGGAGTGATGAAGACTATAGTGTACATGTGTGGGAGTGATGCAGCCTATAGTGTACATGTGTGGGAGTGATGAAGCCTATAGTGTACATGTGTGGGAGTGATGAAGCCTATAGTGTACATGTGTGGGAGTGATGAAGCCTATAGTGTACATGTGTGGGAGTGATGCAGCCTATAGTGTACATATATGTGAGTGATGAAGCTTATAGTGTACATGTGTGGGAGTGATGAAGTCTATAGTGTACATATATGGGAGTGATGAAGCCTATAGTGTACATGTGTGGGAGTGATGAAGCCTATAGTGTACATACATGTGGGAGTGGGAGTGTACATGTATGGGAGAAGCCTATAGTGTACATGTGTGGGAGTGATGAAGCCTATAGTGTACATGTATATCAGTGATGAAGCCTATAGAGTACATGTAAGTGAGTGATGAAGCCTATAGTGTACATGTGTGGGAGTGATGAAGCCTGTGTACATGTATGGGAGTGATGAAGCCTATAGTGTACATGTGTGGGAGTGATGAAGCCTATAGTGTACATGTGATGCCTATAGTGATGTGTGAGTGATGAAGCCTATAGTGTACATGTGTGGGAGTGTTGAAGCCTATAGTGTACATGTATAGGAGTGATGAAGCCTATAGTGTACATGTGTGGGAGTGATGAAGCCTATAGTGTACATGTGTGGGAGTGATGAAGCCTATAGTGTACATGTATGGGAGTGATGAAGCCTATAGTGTACATGTGTGATGGCCTATAGTGTACATGTGTGGGAGTGTTGAAGCCTAGTGTACATGTGTGGGAGTGATGAAGCCTATAGTGTACATGTGTGGGAGTGATGAAGACTATAGTGTACATGTGTGGGAGTGATGCAGCCTATAGTGTACATGTGTGGGAGTGATTAAACCTATAGTGTACATGTGTGGGAGTGTGTGTACATGTGTGAATGAAGCCTATAGTGTACATGTGTGGGAGTGATGAAGCCTATAGTGATACTATAGTGTACATGTGTGGGAGTGATACTATGTGTGTGGGAGTGATGAAGCCTAGAGTGATGAAGCCTATAGTGTACATGTGTGGGAGTGATGAAGCCTATAGTGTACATATATGGGAGTGATGAAGCCTATAGTGTACATGTGTGGGAGTGATGAAGCCTATAGTGTACATATATGGGAGTGTTGAAGCCTATAGCAGTGATGAAGCCTATAGTGTACATGTATGGGAGTGATGAAGCCTATAGTGTACATGTGTGGGAGTGATGAAGCCTATAGTGTACATGTGTGGGAGTGATGAAGCCTATAGTGTACATATATGGGAGTGATGAAGCCTATAGTGTACATGTGTGGGAGTGATGAAGCCTATAGTGTACATGTATGGGAGTGTTGAAGCCTATAGTATACATGTGTGTGGGACTATAGTGTACATGTGTGGGAGTGAAGCCTATAGTGTACTATGAAGCCTATAGTGTACAGTGTACATGTGTGGTTGTGAAGCCTATAGTGTACATGTGTTGAAGATGAAGCCTATAGTGTACATGTGATGAAGCCTATAGTGTACAGTGATGTGGGAATGATGAAGCCTATAGTGTACATATATGGGAATGTTGAAGCCTATAGTATACATGTGTGGGAGTGATGAAGACTATAGTGTACATGTGTGGGAGTGATTAAGCCTATAGTGTACATGTATAGCAGTGATGAAGCCTATAGTGTACATATATGGGAGTGTTGAAGCCTATAGTATACATGTGTGGGAGTGATGAAGGCTATAGTGTACATGTGTGGGAGTGATGCAGCCTATAGTGTACATGTGTGGGAGTGATGAAGCCTATAGTGTACATGTGTGGGAGTGATGGAGTGATTAAGCCTATAGTGTACATGTGTGGGAGTGATGAAGCCTATAGTGTACATATATGGGAGTGATGAAGCCTATAGTGTACATGTGTGGGAGTGATGAAGCCTATAGTGTACATGTATAGCAGTGATGAAGCCTATAGTGTACATGTATGGGAGTGATGAAGCCTATAGTGTACATGTGGTGGGAGTGAGCTATAGTGTACATATGTGGTTGTGATGAAACCTATAGTGTACATGTGTTGGAGTGATGAAACCTATAGTGTACATGTATGGGAGTGATTAAGCCTATAGTGTACATTTGTGGGAGTGATGAAGCCTATAGTGTACATGTGTGGGAGTGATGAAGCCTATAGTGTACATGTGTGGGAGTGATGCAGCCTATAGTGTACATGTGTGGGAGTGATGAAGCCTATAGTGTACATATATGGGAATGTTGAAGCCTATAGTATACATGTGTGGGAGTGATGAAGACTATAGTGTACATGTGTGGGAGTGATGAAGCCTATAGTGTACATGTGTGGGAGTGATTAAGCCTATAGTGTACATGTGTGGGAGTGATGAAGCCTATAGTGTACATGTTTGGGAGTGATGAAGCCTATAGTGTACATGTTTGGGAGTGATGAAGCCTATAGTGTACATGTGTGGGAGTGATTAAGCCTATATTGTACATGTATAGCAGTGATGAAGCCTATAGTGTACATGTGTGGGAGTGATGAAAGTTACAGTGTACATATGTGGTTGTGATGAAACCTATAGTGTACATGTGTTGGAGTGATGAAATCTATAGTGTACATGTGTGGGAGTGTTGAAGCCTATAGTGTACCTGTATAGCAGTGATGAAGCCTATAGTGTACATGTGTGGGAGTGATGAAGCATATAGTTTACATATATGAGAGTGATGAAGCCTACAGTGTACATATATGGGAGTGATAAAGCCTATAGTGTACATATATGTGAGTGATGAAGCTTATAGTGTACATGTGTGGGAGTGAGGATTTACATGTTGATGGTGAATACTAAGGGCACATCAGCTAATGATATGAGACACGTGTCCACATATTGAGAGTACATACTGAGGATATTATAATTAAACGAGATATGCCTACATATGGAGGTTTATATTGGGGTGATATAAGCCAACGAAGTAACATGTTTTAGGTATATACTGAGAATATGTAGATTACGGTTATAAGTTATTCATATTAAGGGTATAATAAAGATGGTATATAATAAATTTTATACAGCGTATTGATTAGTTACATGGCGAGCTTTTCATTCCCATAAATACTTCGGGTGAAAGAGGAGTATCCATGCTGAGCTGTGGGTTTTGGTCGTCACATTCAGACGAGACGTTTTGTTGTCGATCTGGCAAAATAAAGGATGTCGACATGCAGAAAATCATATACGGTAATGGAAGCATTTTTGTCAAGTCATCTATTTCATGCTGCGCTCCCGTGATAAATACTGTAACATATATCCTGTTCATGCATAATACTTATTTTGGACTTTTTACCCATAAATAACCATCTCATGCGTTAGTGTCAGAGTTCAGTAGAGAAGGCATACTGAATTCTTCATTGGTGTTTCCTTCTAAGAATCACATGTGCCAAAATTAAAAAGACTAAAAAATGACTTGGTGAAACAATAGAGAAATGAAGAAAAATTCTTTTTTTCATATTCTGTTAATATCTTCATTATGAAAAATATTTCTATGTAGTCGGACGCTAACATTTAACCAGCGTGTTCCGAACAAACTAAGATGTTGCCATGCAGCCATCACCAAGAACAAACATGAACATATAATTAAAATGTACATTACATACTCTCAGTGTTATCTCTCCTCTGAATAACGGGAGTGGAAACCCTTGGGAAGGGCTGTGGAGGCCGATCATCGTACTTACTGGAACTGGGTTGTTCGTGTTCCACTTATGTTATAATTAAAAGTCAACAAATCACAACAAATTATTTGGAAATCGCATCTTACGTGAACATGAATTTTAATTGGTTACTTTAATACCATAGTGTTTATATATTTTATAAAAAATAAAAGAATAAAGAATCACATTTGCCAAAATTAAAAAGACTTAAAAAATGACTTTGTGAAACAATGGAGAAATGAAGAAAAACTTTTTTTCAAATTCTGTTAATATCTTTACAATGAAAAATATTTCTATGTAGTCGGACGCTAACGTTTAACCAGTGTGTTCCGAAAAAACTAAAATGTTGTCATGTAGCCATCACCATTAATTAAGGGAGTTTTGTGGCGACTGAACAAGGTTGTACATTTCATTAAAACACTATGCAAACTTTCGCAAAGTCATAACAGATCGTCCACTATCAAAATATGGCTACGTAAGTTTTTTTGTCAGTGCACATATAAAATCATGTATTTTAACAGAAGTTACCGAATTCTGAATAAGTTTTTCAAAAAGACGTTATGAAAAAAATCATTTGAATCCGAAAGCAGTTGGGAGCAATATACTATACGTTGATACTGTTAAAGTGTGTATCTCGAGAAAAAATTATAAGGACATAATCAGCTCCATGTTTATACAATATTTAAAAATACTGCAAAGAAATGACATTGAAATACAGAGACGAAACTGATTTATAAATAAATGTGGTCAGGGAATGTAATATAAAGCGCGTTCATTGTTTGACTCCATTGAATCTAACTCTAAAGTTGTATCTAAAGGGACTGTTGACTTTTTGTGTCTTTTGTATAGTTTTCACGATCGCAGTTGGAAGACATTGCTGGTGAATTTTAGTCCCCAAGATTTGGCATAAGCTGCATACCTTATTTTTATTCATTTGAATAGTGGCATGAGTCAGAATATACACATGTACTTGACATTGTTGTGGAATGATCAGATATATTAGGAAATTTATTGAAGTATGGGTCTAGTGCACCTTCCAATCTAGGTTTTAATTATTAGTTGGATAACTTTTTGTTTCCCTCATTTGACCCCTAGGTTTCAAACATTAGGCCCATAGCAACAGTACCGAGTCCTCGAAGAAGGAAACAGTTGTGTGAAACAGTTTAATTCATTGTTTTGGCTCTACTGTATTAAACTCTGAAGTTGTATTTATAGGTAAAACTCGTGTGACTCTTAAACCATCTTGTTAGTATTGGTCGTAATGATTATCGTAATCATAGCCAGTATATCATTGATGATCCATATAATTATATTACAAAAAGAAAGAGACTAAGCGGAGACATGTACCTCTCTTTCTTATTATAATCAAGAGACGATTACCGTGATTTTGGGAGATAACTACCTGTACAATTCAAACGTGATCTTGGATTTCTTTATCTTTGAGTGATGATAACAACATTGTATAGAATATTGAACAAAAATATGTTGACAATATGTCGACATGTCAACGGAATTTCATTTCAAACTCAAATGCGATGAAATTAAAGAAAAATATGAATTAAAAGAGTTATTAGCAGGAATACCATTGAAAGTTCATGAAAAATAAAAGTCTGGTGTTCCATAAGGATAAGCGCTTTCTGCTTCATCAACGACATCCGTCAAGTAAATTTGTAATCATTCCGACTGATTCAGAAGATATTTTGTATATTTTTTTTTCTGTGCGGGAGAACACAAAGACGCACAAACTGAAAGACTACGATTTAATCAAAATATCCACTTACTAATCACTGATAGTATTGCAACATTAATTTACTTCGCCATGTAACGGCCAAATTTGGTTGGCGGACTATGACAGTAGTCATCAATGATTTATATATATATATGTGTGTGTCATTAACACTTTAGGTTTGGATAATATTGAATAAATAAATTCTGCCAATTAAGAAAATTAAGATGGATAATAATCAGCTATATATTGGCCTACCTGGCTTTGCTGGGGGACCAGGTACATCCATTGGTATGGAATAAATCTTTATTTCACTCTCTAAAAAAGAAAAGAAAAGAAAAAGGCATTTCAAAATAACGAATCTATTACAATATACAAGACTATTAATAGCACTTTTCTCGATATCCAGTGTAATTTTTTCTCTTGCTCACACAGATTACTATAAAATATCTTCATAATACGAAAACAGGATTGCTCTTATCTTTAAACAAGACCAATTAAATGCTATTATCGATGATAAAAATATATGCAAATATAGACACATATATCCTTCCCAGTATAAATTGACACCAATGGAAAATAATTTGGTCGAAATAAATGTTATACCAACACCTGCCCGCTTCATTGTTAATGTTTTCGACGATAAGATATTTTTTTATAAAACAAAAAATGGCATTTCAGATATGCTGGTTTGTACATAACTGAAATGTCGATTTTCTGAAGAAGAAAGTCAAAACATCAAAGAAAATTAACAAATTCCGCATTCAAACTATTTAAACGAGAAAAAAAAATAATAATACAAAATCACATAGAGGATCAGACCAGGTGTTCCGGAAGGGCGCATATTTCTGTTTCATCGACCCCACCAAGAGTGATAAACAAAGTAAGTAATGTTACGAGAGTAAGCTACACAACAAGGGAACCAGGCATGCATCACACAAATGCTCTTCTGAGCAATAAAGTAAAATGCATATTTCATGTTGAAAATGAATTTAAGTGATTACAAACCTGGCGTACTAGTTTCGGATTTCTGCAGTTGTTTCTTATTGAGATAAACCGAACCAAATGCCAGCTCCATGGCTTCAGTTTCCTTAAAGTACAGAATATATACTGACTTACAGAAAGCAGATGACATAGCAGATGTACAAAATCAACGAATGTAAACAATGCTTTGAGAAAAAAAAACAAACAAACGATAAAAACAATGCAATGATGAAAGCTACTTAACCTGCGAATTGGATAACTAAACTTCCTTTATAGTCTCTAATCTCGACACATTCTTGAAAATTTCTATTTTTTACATCGTGTGATAATCTGATAGATTAATTTATCATCACAAAAACACAGAAAATGTCATTTTAAAAAAATATAACGAAATAAACATGAACTAACCAAAAATGACTTTGCGTAGTCCTCGAGATCAGGAACTCCTGATTCCATGGCTAAATCGTACACATTTTTCCCATTAGAGTTGGTGATGCGGCAGACTTCGCTTGATCGGGGTAAATTCATTAGGTGTAACCAAAGATCATAAAGACCATTCTTGGCGGCAAAGTGTAGCAACGTTGGTACTTCAGAGCTCGACTGTGAGTCTGTCAAGGTATTTTTAGGTTGATAAAGAATTTCAGAATGATGAATGAAATACCTAAATCAATAAGTATTCAATGTTTAACTAACGAATTCAAGACGTATCATGGAGCTACAAGGTACACTCAAAGGTTCAAGATGTACCACATATTCTTAAAGTCTAAATGTACCATATAATTATTACCCAAACTCTTGATGTACCACGGAATTCCTGGGTAAACTTTGAAATTCAAGACGTTTAACACATCTAAATCACAAAAATATAAATGCATCGCATAGTTTCCACACAAGATTAACATATTTTAGAGTTATAAAGTAACTAACAAACTCATTATGAGTCGACATATCAATGCGTCAAGTTTACAAGTAACAATGTGCTTGAGAGTTCTTTTCATCCGACGGCTACAAGAGCAGACCCTTTAATATTAATTTTTTTATCATTTCAGAATATTTGAGTGTCAACAGCTTAATGACAAATGTAATTGGGTAACAAGTACAGCCTATGAAAGCCTCTCCATACATAAACAAGTTTACAAAACATCAATCAAATAGAGAATAGATTACATTTATTTCATCGTGAATGGAACATTACAATCTAGAGTATCATTATGAAACAAAAATAGATAAAAAAAAACCACTACCGTCAGTTATCGTCAATGAATGAAAATTTAATTTATAGTCTAGTCAAAATAAGGTGCCAATGTCCCTTTAAATGGAGGCAGGCACACACTCAAACTCTGCATACACACTCACAACTCTTTGTCCATGAAGTTGTCAAACATACTCAATCCTGACCCAGCATTTGTAGATTAAATGAATGAAAGCTCAGTTCCTGTTGACACAAAATAGAAAATACCTTAAATAAATTAATTTATATGCTTAATATACAAATATATCCTTAGTATACTAGAAAGCATAAGAATATGATTATGCTGTCGATAGCGCATGTACGGGCACGAAACCGTCTTACCTTGGAAAGTTTCTGACATATTCGTTTGCAGTAATGAAATGTGAGATTGATCTTCTGGGGAGCTTTGCTTGAAGATTTTAACGAGAGTTTTATCCAAGGTGTCCCTATCATCTGAACATATACCAAGTAATTGACATAAGTAGGATGGACACTCGTACGCTGCTAACATAGGTAATTGAAACTTCAATTCACATGTTCCAACCTGGTTGTCGTCAATGAAGACATGTACTTTGTTTGGTCCTTCTGATAAATCTACAAGAGACGAAAATAAAGGATTTTTTTCTATTTCTGTAAAGTCGGGATCATATCGAAGTCTTGAAACAAATTCTATAGAAAAACAAACACAAGTGAACAGATTCTTGGAATATAAGTTCGGTGATATAGTTGTTTGACAAGTTGGGAATATGGCAGCCGTATTATACTTCTCTTAAGGAAGGACTTTAGACATCTCAGAGGACAATAGGGGGAATCAAATTTGGCCTGAACACATCAAACATGAAATAGTATGCAATGTGAAGAAGAAGTGTGAACTGTGTCAGACAAAAGTGGAAACGAATAAAAGTGTCGAAAATTCTTCGGAAACATTCAAACGTATAATAGATATGGTGATATCGGGGTACATCACTCCGAGAAAACTAGAATTGTAGCAATGAGGTGGCGGTTTGTGCACACTTACATTGCAGTATAGAATTTTTACAAAAGATTTTGTTTGTCATTTGACAGGGATTTTGGAGAAACATTAATTACAGGAAATATGGTAGACGCCCTGAGGGACTTACTAACTGATAGACGTACTGACGAACAAACGATTGTGGGACAGAAGGGACACTACAATGAATTGTAGTCATTAGATGGCGGGTTTCTTGTAGTTTGTGAGAATAATGAGTGAACAATTTTGAATAGTGGAGAAGTTAAAGAATATCGAATAAATCTTTATATGTTGGGGTTCTTTACCCAAATATTTGTTACCATTTATTAGATTTAAGAAGATGTAGTTCTTACTTTTTGCTGTGAACATAACGCAGAAGGGATTATAAGCCTCCGTGTGAATTCGAGACACTATACTCTCTCCACAACGCACCGTAACAGTGCCTTGCACTTCTTGCTCGAAATTAAGATACACAACTGAAGGCTGCTGTAAACAAGTCAACATTGAAAGAACTGACAATTAAATGATAAAACATTGAAAGAGCTTGATATCCTTAGAATAAAATCTGTCTAAAACTATTACTGTCGTGCAAGGTTTAAACATATTTTAATGTCATAACACATCAATAGAAAACCCATATCAGACCCGTTTACTTGGCATTATATATAATATATAGAAAAAAAATGAAATGTGTAAACTTGATATTCATGGCAATTTTCTCATCAAATTCCATTAATCTTTTTCAACAGAGAAGATGATGTGATAGACCGTACCTGGTAAACCATGTCTGGCATCATTCGAAATTTCAAAGTACATTTCTTCTGACAAAGATGTCGTTTCGTGCCAGCTTGTTCTGTGCTATCTACAATTTCCAACAAGTCAGAAACTAGACTATAGATTTCTGTCTTATCACAAGTCACTGTGAGTAGTTTACGCGAGTGAAAGAAGGTATATTTATCGAAAATGGATTCCAATTCTTCTTTTGTCGTGAAGCATTCTAAAAGCACAATGTTTTCATAGTCTTTTAGCCCTTCGATTGCATTTTCTATATCGTCATCAAGCATGCAGGGCGATATGAGGACGGCAACGACTGTAGAATTTTTAATTGTGGTTTCCATTATCAAACTATCCCTTTTGAAGTCACACAACACAGGTGAAATGTCGGCTTCGGATTTTGATAGAAGCTTTTTGAGATATATGGCCCACTTTTCAGCATCGTCGGCGTGGTAAATGATCGAAATGGAAGGCATGTTTATGTTATATCAGTCAGCCGAGTAATGTTGTTGTCCGTAGATCACGTGACCGGTCTGTTAGTCCACCTGAAATGAAATTCAGTTGTTTTAGCAAGCGTATCATAGGTTGCAAAAACTTTTGAATGTTAACCCGTTACATAAACAAATATATATATTTCTGTGTAAACGCAGGCTCAACTTTTCTAATCGATATGCAGAAAATCACTTTAAGTTTTCCAAAAATTGTCATAAAATGTCAAACATTGACACGCCGTCAAAATGAGCGTGCTTAAAACAAACAACAATGACTTCATTACTTTGATATATGATGTGAATATAACCCGTATATAACGATACATGTTGACTTTAGAAACGTATCCCCAGAAAACCAGGAAATTAATGTATATTTAAAACACTCTCTTCTCTTCTTACGTCCTGAAGATAACTTCCGACGTATTGTGAAAATATAGTTCAAGTATCTGTACCATCTAGAGCCGTATATAAAGCAGTATGTTTCATAAGCAACACGCAACTTCATCATTACTTTTCCACGAAATAAGACATCATACTTAAATACAGATGTACACCATTTATAGATAGTTCGGTAATATTTATTGCGTTTTATTTTTTCCCCGTGACGCAAACAATTCAAGCAGGCAATTACGATTTCAGATGAAATTATGTTTTTTTAATTCGTGTTTTAAGCTATAGCCATGGATGCTTTCACGAGGTAAATCTATATTGTGTATATCACAGGATATTACGTTCCGCTCGTGAATGTGATAAACATAAATGTCCTTGATTGTACAGTTTTTAAACATTTACTGGTCTTTGTAGCATCATAATAGACAGTTTCACAAATGGTCTAAACGTTGCATCAAATTGAGTATTAACAATCTGATATCTATCAGTAATTATGGATCAAATTCTGCTACAAGGTATGAATGATTGTACACAGACACACAAGGGATAAACGTCTCTTAATGGAATCAGCTGGGTCACTGTCGCCGTCAAGTCATGTTAGGAAGTAATTGTGAAAAGTGAAAAAAACTGGCCGAAACCTGTGTCAAAGTATAGATTGGGGAGGTGCCCCTACATTTTTTGACTAATGCAAATTTTTCTTTCTTTTTCTTTTAACTATATATGGTGTAATGACATACGCAACTCTTGATGAGTGTTATACACGTCTACAGACACCTATTATCAAAATGGCATACACAAACCTGGATCAGTGGGCGAAAATGTCTACAGACACCTATTATCAGAATGGCATACACAAACCTGGATCAGTGGGCGAAAATGTCTACAGACACCTATTATCAGAATGGCATACACAAACCTGGATCAGTGGGCGAAAATGTCTACAGACACCTATTATCAGAATGGCATACACAAACCTGGATCATTGGGCGAAAATGTCTAAGACACCTATTATCAGAATGGCATACACATCAGACACCTATTATCAGAATGGCATACACAAACCTGGATCAGTGAGCGAAAATGTCTACAGACACCTATTATCAGAATGGCATACACAAACCTGGATCAGTGGGCGAAAATGTCTACAGACACCTATTATCAGAATGGCATACACAAACCTGGATCAGAGGGCGAAAATGTCTACAGACACCTATTATCAGAATGGCATACACAAACCTGGATCAGTGGGCGAAAATGTCTACAGACACCTATTATCAGAATGGCATACACAAACCTGGATCAGTGGGCGAAAATGTCTACAGACACCTATTATCAGAATTGAAGTAATTTCCATGCCTGTTAATCCTACTTTCATGAAGAGTAACATACTAACTGCTGAATTCTCCATCACGTATGAATTTATTCAAACACCATATTATCATATATTGTTGATAGAGCTGCATAATGTTATATTACTGACAGGTCCGTGAAGGTCGAAACAGCTGTAGGACGTAATATTACTGACGAGTTCTATAAGGACGAAACAGTTGTATGATGATGCACCACTGACGAGTTCTATAAGGACGAAACAGCTGTATGATGATCACCACTGAGGAGTTCTATAAGGACGAAACAGCTGTATGACGATGCACCACTGACTGGTTATATAAGGACGAAACAGCTGTATGATGATGCACCACTGACTGGTTATATAAGGACGAAACAGCTGTATGATGATGCACCACTGACGAGTTCTATAATGACGAAACAGCTGTATGATGATGCACCACTGACGGGTTATATAAGGACGAAACAGCTGTATGATGATGCACCACTGGCGGGTTATATATATATATATATATATATATATCATGTGCTGTAATCATTCTCGTCCTATGTAATTTATTGTTACATATAACACTTGACTGAATAGGATTCGGATGTAATAGGGTCTCCTACAATGAGCAGATCCGTTTTCTGAATTAAACATTAATTATCTTTCCGTTTGTTCCTATGTTCGTTGTTACATTATAAACTCTCGTAAATACGAGATCTTGTATCTGTCTATTTGTTTGTTACTTAACTAGGGTGTAATTATTTGTGATGTTGATAGCAAGAATGAAAAACAAATCTGCAGGAAAGTATATGGTTCCACTCAATACTCCACATATGGCATTATCTCATTGAAAGTTGAAACTATGTATTGTCCTTTTTTATATTAAGCATTGTGTGGCATTCCTTATAAAGTCATTTGTGTATTACCAGTTCATGAAATGCCAACGGTTTAGTAATATTGCGAGTAATATACACAGATTTAGGTTTTATTCTGTTACAACAAAACGAAAATTTGAAATAGTAAATATATGCATTGAACTGCTTTCAGCTAGAATTCATTGGCTCATGAATGCAAATAGGACAAGGGAAAATTCTAACATGAAGCGCTGACATTCTCCGTTGATATAATCTTGTGATGTTGGGTTTGTAAGTCATTCCAGTCTGTCTACATCTGCGTTCCAGTTATATTTTAAGATTACGTTTATCATTATTAAAGTACAAAACAAAATATGACTAAGTAAAAACTTCAGCCCAACATTAGAAAGCACTTAAACATATATGTGGCAATATCAACAGACCAATGGATACATCACGGAAGATCACTAACCGGAAGTCTATGACGTAATTCTGATAACTCGAAAACCTAAGGGGTTCGACATAATAATAATAATAATATACAACATTTATATAGAGCACTATCTTTTTTGACAAAATACTCTTATGCGCTTCACAATTACATAATAATCTTACTACAAAATTTGCAGAACATGTATAACACAGTAATCAACATATGTAACACAGTAACCAAATCAAGTAAGTAGTGGTGAAAGTATGTATATACAGGACGTCTGCGTGAGAGTCTAAAATGCAGACGTAAACAGGTGGGTTTTAATATCCCTCTTGAACTTGGCCAGGGATTTTGACTTTCTAGTAGCAGATGGTAAGCTGTTCCACAAAGTGGCCGCTACCTTTCCAAAGCATCGGTTATCATAAGTCACAGTCCGAGAGTTCGGAACGCACAACAAGGATTCTGTCTCCGATCGTAGTGATCGTGACGGCCGATAAACGGTGACAAGTTCCTGCAAATATTCAGGAGCTGTTCCATTTATTGCCTTGTATGTATACATCAAAATCTTGTACTGTGACCGGAATCGCACGGGCAGCAAAAGCAATAAGTAAAGGACTGGTGTAATGTGGTCCCTCTTTCGAGTACGGGTAACTAGGCGTGCTGCGGTGTTCTGTACCCTCTGCAGGCGGCTCATTGGTGTATCAGATACACCAACGAGTAACGCGTTACCATAGTCTAACCTAGAAGTAACAAGAGAATGTACCAATGTCTTGCATGCATCTGTGGTGATGAACTGACGGATACCCCCAATGTTTCTGATTTGGTGATAACAGGAACTGGCAATTGAGTTTATCTGTTTCTCCATGTTCAGAGAGCTATCAAAGTGTACACCAAGGTTTCTCACAGCTTGGACGGCCTCAATAGTTTGGGCACCGACCTTTAACTGGAGACCTTTAGTGTGTTGACACTTGTGGGAAAAGACGATCAGTTCTGTCTTTTCCTGATTGACATAATGAAGTTTTACTTTAATTTTACTTACGCAAGAAGTGACCTACAATTCGGGATATAAAATGATTTTCAAACAACCTTTATGGGGATTTTTTTTTACAATATCATGGAATCGGTCCAAAATGTGACGTCGACTCAATCTTCTATGTGTGACGTCATCAAGTCTATTGCGAAAGTTTTTTTTTTTTTTTTTTTTAGAAATGTAACATTACTAGTATTAGTTTTATTTTTCCAACTGTAGAAAATTTAGCACGAGAACGAGGCCGGGCGTTGATGGCCGGATTTTTGACCGCTCTCAGGTAAATTCGTCAATAATTGTTTTTAAGTACTCTGTTTCACTCCTGTGTGGTGTGATTGTATTATACATTGGACAAATGAACTTTCTGACGTATTTTATGTACAGAGGGACAGTTTCAATCTGGAAACTTTGGGTGTGACGGTTATCTCAATTGTGTCGATTACAGCGTAATGGCAGCCCATGTCGAAATGACCAGTGGTCAAGCCCAGTACAGTGTTGTAGAAAACCCCGTTTCAACATATAACCATGTTGATGACTTTGACCAAATGCCCCACTATACTACCCTTACACCCGTTAAACACATGGATTTGTGGCAGAATGGCCAAAATTTTAATAATACACTGGGCAGTAGTATCCCGTTGACCTCATTACCGAGCGACACTTACATATCCGACTTGAGCGGTGAGCAGTCATCAGCCATTCAGCTGTACATTGCCGAGCTGGATAAGTGCAAGGATCTTCCAAAGGAACTATTGATTGACAAAATACGGTCCCTAGTTCACGATAGTGTGGCGGATCTCGAGCAGTTGAGGCATCGCTTGTTCAAAATTGCTACATCACGAGACGACTTTCCTGTTAAGGAGGGGTACCTTAGAAGGAGGCTCGAAGCTACAGTTACTGGTGCCGCATCATTACAACAGAAACTTTCAAAAGACTGCTTTGTACTCCTGAGAGCAACTGATGGTGAATACACTGAAGACATTAGTGAGGTTGTACCGACAAAGAAACGTGTAGAATCGGTAAACTCAACATTTAAGACAACACCTGATGATGCGGCAGGGATAAAAGTGCTACAAGAGTTAGTAGTAACACTCCAATCAGAAATCCACTGCATGCGGACGGAAAATGCGAAACTTAACGCAGACTTAACAGACTTAACAAAAAAAGTTGACAACTTGTACAAAGAAAAAGAAAAGGCACAAAACAGAGGCAAAAACTTACAAAAAGAAATGTCATCAATGAAAGAACGCATACAGAAGGTCGACGAAAGACATGACGTTTTGCACACCGAGCTGGGAAAGGTAGTAGAAACGAACACAAAACTTTGCGAAATCATTGATACACAATCTACAAAATTAGCGGAACTTAACATTGAAGTGACAAACAGTGGGAAAAACGTAAACGATATCAGTAAAGCATTGAACGAAGTCAGGGCGGATGCTAAAAGGATTCGAACTGAACAGGACAAGAAACTTATAGCGGTACGCAACGACATTACAGTGACGAAGAATAAAATTTCGGACTGCGAGCAAATCGCACAGCGATTCGACGATAATCAGTTGAACGGCATAGAGAGTGTGAAAAAGACATTGAAATTGGTCATGCAACGTACGAAAACGTGTGAGGAAGAAGCGGAAAGCAACAACAAAGCGATAGGAGAATGTAAACACGCAACATCTAACATGCAAAAACAATGTAATGAACTTAAGAAACAGATAAAACATGTACGAACCAGTAGCTCCAACAGTAGCACTCCTAATGGTACAGTGCACGCGTCAAACGGTAGCTCTAACGGAACCTGTACAGTAGCCGATCAGTGTGACGCTGCCCCGCGGCAGCAGTCAAGCGCGACCGAACAGGTAAGAGTCACTGTATCAAATCGCTTCACTCCACTGGATACGGACAGCGATACTCTACATGACAGGAGCTATGCGAACGTAACTTCGAATGTGATTTCGTCAGGCAGCACAAGGTCCAATGAGCATTCTACCATGGTGTCATCCAAACCGTCCATAACTAGTCATGAAAGTGCAAATAGTTCACATTCAAAAATACCGGTGCATTTCCCTTTCCCATCATCAGAGTGTCATCCAAAAGTTAGTGATAAAAACTTAGCCGATACGTTTGTTGGCTACAACAGACATAATAAAGGTAGAATCAGTCGATTCTACGTGTATGGTATGAATAGTCGTATTGCTTCTGAGGAATAAATGCGGGACTTTTTGGCCCAGTCCAATGTAAGGGTAACACACCTCCGATATTTCCAAAAAAGGTGGAAGAGTACGGCTTCAGCACAAATGAACATTATCGCCGACGATGAACATATAGTAACTGACAACTATTTTTGGCCTGATGGTATACATATGAGACCCTGGATGCCCCGTGAAGTATTCTTGGATGAACACCGGCGCGGTTAGTATATTAAACCTTATGTGTTGGAACACTGGGGGGTTGAAATCAGGAACCCCGTATCTTGTACAATGTTTAAAACATTACGATGTACATATTTGTGGGCTCTCAGAACATTGGTTGAGGGAACACGAAATGTCATATTTTGACGATTTTTAATGTATTGGCTACAATGTCATAGCTAAACCTGTATTTGAAGTAGACCCATTTAGGCTTAAATGTAATATTAGAAGTGGAATTGCATTACTTATTAAGAAATCGATCCTTAAGGTGAGTGAAATTGAG